GCGTCCAACAGTTGAAAGTGCAAGATCTTATTTCATTTAGACTTTTTTCTTTGTGTTGATATGCTACAAAGGGTTTGCTTTCATTGCTGAGGCGAGGGAAGACTTTTTGTCCACATGGTTCTTGGCAGGACGTTTCCAAGATGCTGGCCACTATGTTGCATTGGTCATGCGAGGGTATCCAGGTCCTGGATTTGTTGTAGCTGGAAGTTGGTGGATGTTGTTATTGCTGGAAGGTGTTGGTAGATGTTGGTACGATTGCTTTAGATCCTTTTTGTGACCACTAGTGAGGCTGATGCCAAATTTCCTGGGAGATGCACTTCATGCATAGGTCTTCTGTCCGTGGGTGACCTTGATCAAAATGCACTCCTTGCACACGCGCGAGTCTTGCGAGAGCAGATGGTGCAAGATTTGCAGGTTGCCAAGAATCAGATCTCGAAGCAGATGAAGCCACCCTTCAAAAGAGCATGCAATAGTGCTGAAGAGCCTTCCAGCAAGAGTGCCAAGTTTGAGCCGACGCCAGTAAAAACAGATGTGGGTGTGCCCTCGCATCAGAAGAGCAAAAGAGCATCTGATGAGGATGCTGAAGAACCTTCTGGCAAGATTGCCAAGGTTGAAGTGAAAGAAGAAGAGGATGCAACATTGGATGGAGTTGGGCCAGTGGAAGCAAAGGAGGAACCCATGGATGATGCAGAGGAACCCACCACAGAGGTTATGATGAACAAGGCGCAGCTGGAAGAATTGCATGGGCTCAAAAGATTCCCTAAGGGTCATCAAGGGAAAGCCAACCCGATGTATTGCAAGCATTGTGACAAGATCTTCGAGGGTCGAAACAGAGCAAAGGTGTGGCAACATGTCAGAGGACAAGACCACCGTGCCAAATGGGGCTGCCAAAGCAACAAACCAGAGTCTGCGCAAGTGAAAGTCGAGAACGATGAGTTGCCAGCTGACAGTTACACAGATGGACACTGTAGTGGGCTGAAGTTGGGTTCAAGTCTAGGACAATCTACACGATTGGGCTCAGACCTTGCTCCAGTGTGGAAGGAGTTTGCGGCTTATCGCCAAATGCAGGTTTCAACTCCTTGCGGGGAATCCACGCACGTTTATGAGCACCTTGTCACAGAAAACGACTGGATCATCCGCCACTGCAAGTGCCAAAAGCAAGATGCAGTGTACACTGGCGATGATGGCTGGTCAACCTGCAAAATCTGCTTGTCTCTTGGCAATGATCAGAAGTTTCTGACACGCACATCGCAGTTCGTGGCAGACCTGGATGAGGCGCGGCTACTCTTCCACCGGATGTACAAGTCAGAGGTCTGCCCTGAGTTCATCAAGACACTGAAAGAAAAAAACGTGTACCAGAGACGGTGCAAAACCAACTACGACAGATTCATTGACTTCGACCTCCCGAAGCTCCATGCATCTGTCAGATCCAAGTGGGTTGGCAGGAAAGGCAGACAAACTTCTGATGCCATGGGCATGCTCATGGCCCATGTGGTCCTACCGTGCATTGATGTTGAGCCTTCCTATGGCCTCAAAGAGGCAAATGTAGACCGTTTGCTGAAGTTCATGAGCAATGATGAGAACAGCAACCCCAAGGATTTGGAGATTGTGAAGAGCATTGTGACTGGACAGGTGTCTCGCAACCCGGCCTTGCACGGTATAATGGTGGCCTTGATGACCCAATTCCAGAATATGGAGAGCGGCAAGACAACAATGCGGAACCCAAACCGACGCTAGGCGTACAATTTGTTAGGAGATGTTAGAAGCTCCAGCTGTAGCTCCCACAGAATGCTCTTAGTGCACAAGGGATCACACGTTTTTATATTGATGCTGGCATATGAATGTCAAGGTCTGGATCAATCTGCTGCATAGGCAAGCGCTTCTTTCATCCAGTGATCAGAGGGGTAAGTCATTCTAGACCTTGAGGGTATGTTTTGGAATGTCTTGAGTGATCATGGAAAGCTACAAAGACATAGTTTTGTCCATGTGTGTGAAGTATGTAGGGTCTATATTAAAAGCCACATTGGAAAACGGTTCTTCCGTCCAATGGTCAGAGGGGTAAAATGATTCTAGACCGTTCCTGGCTTATATACATGGTTCTGGAATGTTTTTTTGAAAAATATAGCTTCTTCTTGAAGAGCCCAGGAGATGAGAGAGAGAGCAACTTGCTATTGGAGGCAGGTGCTGAACTCGCAGCAATGGGGTGCAATGATCGGGCCTTGGCGTTCTTTGGTCTGAAGTGGATTGAGAAGAAGCGTTGGCAGGGTTCTCTTGCACAGATGTCGGAATGGAGCCTTCCAATCCACACCAGCCCAAGTGCATCACAGATCGCAGAGAATGATCACACATGCTCCTTGATTCTTGCAAGCGACCAGGGACCTCGCAGAAGGCTGGTGCTGGCTTTTGACCGTACATACTTGGACTCCACCATGCAGTTGGGGCAAACATCAGTGGGCCATGTGATGTTAGGTGGTGTTCATCGGCCGCGTGGCTTCAATCTTGAGAGCGAGGACCAGATTCCATTGAAGGCAGAGGAAGGCGGAGATCAATTCATCCACAAAGACATTTCCAAAGCAAATGAGATTGAATCCTGCCTTGTTTGGGACCCCACCCGCAAACATGGGCCTACATTGGAACTGGCGGCGTTTCCTGTGAACACAGCGGCCTCCAAGGATAGCAGGTTTGAGGCAGTGATGCCAGACACCAAAACTGGCAGAGGCAATTGGGAGACTTTTGCTCGCATTGGTGAAGTACTCGACCAGGCACCTTCTGTCAAGTATATTGTGGCTGATTCACATGGATCTCACGAATGGATTCGTCGGAAGCTGCTTGGCCAAAGCGTGCCAATTCCTGATTCATTGGTTCAACAAGTGCCTTTCTTTTCGAAGTTGGCTTGGTCTGATCTTCCAGAGGTTCCCTTTCCGCTGCCTTACAGACTTGTTTCTCATCCAGACACCGGCCAGACAATCCATTGTGTTCCTGGACCAGCACATCTGCAAAAAAATTTCGCAGAGCAGCTATGCAGCCCGCTACGATGCATCCATTTCGGGTCCAAGTTCACCGACTTTTCCGCAGCTCTTGATCTAGGCCTTTTCCCAGTTGCTTTCATTGGCACAGATTCCATGAGCGATTGGCAGGCTGCACTTCTGTTGCTTGGCCCTGACTCAATTTGAGGTGAGTGATGTAGGGAAGGTCTATAATGGTTTTCATGGAAGAGAATCGCTTTTTTGTTATCGTTTGGAAGTAGGTCATATCATTTGAGACCTTGTGAAGAGTCAGGATGGGTCAGGGGTGTTATAGAAAACAGTTTTTTGTTGATGTTGTTTGATGTTTATGATTCATAGACTGATCTAATAAAGGTCTAAAATGGTATCACTTTTAGAGAACTTCTTTGTTCAGTCATTTGGAAACTGTTGACTTCATTTTAGACCTTTTGAGGGGTCAGAGATGCCATGGGAACAGTAGTAAAACATAATCACGATGTGTTCCACAGGTTTTCTTTCTGGCTCCACACGCTGGCAATGTTTGCGTGTGTGCCATTTGAATTTTTGAGGCTGTCTCCATTGAATTTCGTGGTGGACCCTTGCCAGAGTCCTGTGATCATTCCCTGGGCCTTGGAAGGCGCGTTCCTCATGTCCTTGATTGGAGCACATGTGAATGCCAGCGTCCTCCACGGAAATCTTTGCCGGAAGTGGCGATTGGAAGTTGCGTTCACAGGCAGCTGGGCTGAATGCCACCTGATAATGTTCTCCAAACATCTCCAACAGCCACCCAAATATCCTTCAGCGTTCACCCTACCCTCCCATAGACTTTCCATATGTTTCCATGAGATCTCGATGCTAATCCATAACCAGCAAGAGCTGTGGCCGTCTCAGGATATTGCTTGCTGCAGCTTGGAGAAATGATGGCTGCAGCTACAGCCCGAGAGAGGAAGGTTCGCCTTGAAGGGAAGAACGGTGGGTAAAAATAGTGAAACGGTCGGTGAAGCAAAAAACTTTTTTAGTATCAGAACGTGTCAGACACAAATTTGCCGCTTGCAGTGTTGGTTCGATGTTTGTGTTCTCACTTGTGCGCAGGTGACCAAGACTCAGGTTTGGCTAGATGGAACCACGCACAGAAACCTGAAAGATGCGCTGGGCAGTGTCATTTTGATTCTGTGGTCGCAGGATGTCCCTCCCCTTTGGTGGCACAGGCTCACAGAGCGGAATTTGGAGAAGCGATTTGGGCGCTGCAGACAGTTCTTCCCCAATTCCCAAATGAGTGTTGGAGACTACTGGCGGAGCAGTGCAAGAATCATGAGGCAAGATGTCAAATCCTTTGATGCGAAGCGCGAGGAGCAGCTTCCTGCACCACAGCCTTTGTCAAAGAACGACTTTCAAGAGATCGCCGTACGCAGCCTCAAGGCAGCCATGAGGTGAGGGGCCTGAAAGTTTTTGAATGATTTTGAACTCTTAAGTCGTTTTTTTGGGCAGCGGTGGTGGTGGTGGCGGCGGCAGGAAAACAGACATGACTCGACAGATTAAAAACGCAGAACCCCTTGTATTTGGGCTGTTCATTTTTAATTGTAGCGTATTGTGGCAGGCTATCCTCGATGTGCAGTGGCTGCAAGCTAGAGGATTTGCAGAGTGACTTCAAGATGATGCAACATCATGTCGATGGACCTGCGGTGACTACAACTGCTGAAGAAGCGTCAGGCCTTTTGAAATGGGAAGTGTGGGGTCTAGAATGGTTTACTTTGCACATTGGTGAGGATTAAAGGTACTGTATGCACATACATATTATTTCAGACCCGTTTAGATGTGTTTGCCACATTTGGCCATCAGATGGATGATTTGCTGTGTTTCCTTTCAGATTCCCAACAAAACGTAGGGTCTAAAGTGTTTGCCTCCCAGGGTTCAAAGTCAACCCAAGCATTTGCAACAGTGCCAACCAACTTTTTTTGTCTAGGACAATTTGAAAGCATAATGGACTGGAGTGTTTGTCATACAAGCCACCCAAGGTCTAGAATGGTGTTTCTGTGCTTTACCACATATAATATACTATTTTTGCAACAGGGTATCCAGTTCAGACCCCTTGCTTGTGAAAAGAGTGCGCTCCTACTTCATGGAATTGAATAGGGCAACGTTTTCTGTCCCAACAAGGTATGGGGAACATCTGTTTATGGTAGGCAGTCTTCCACTGAGACTGAGACCTTGCTTTACTAGAGTGGGCTCCCTTCGCTTCAGGAAGCACTGTGCCTCCAAGAGTCACTGGCAGTGCAGCCGACACAGTTGAACGCCTCAGGGCAAGCCAAGCTCTTGCGCAGAATTGGGATGACGACGCGCTTGACCTGTCGGCTTTGTCCGATCTTGCTTGCATTGCGCTGGAAGAGCAGGTGCGCAAACCAGATGCTTGCCAGACACTGAAAGAGGCCACTCAGGAGGGGACGGGCGTGTTTCATTTTGGGACTTTTTTGTGTAGAATTGTTCAATGGACACAGCGAACCATCCGATCACATGTAACCAACTACATCCAAATCCTGGTCAGGAGCTTCTGTCGGACCATGACGAAGGTGAGAATCAGAATGTCTTCAAGTCTGAGCCTCGCGCAGACCGTTTGACATTAGCGGGTGCATTGAAAGGGCATGACACATTTGATGGTAGCAAAGATGATCTTTGGCGCCTTTTGTGCTACCTTCGAATTGGCAATGGCTGTGATGGGGAAATCGTGAAGGGTGCCTTGCTGGACTTTAACTTTGAGCCCTCATGAAAGAAACTAAACTTGGTCGCGGTATGTGCGATGACTTTTGAGGATGAGAGACGTGAAGAAACAAACTATAATAACTTTTTTATATATTTAATGTTAATTAATGTTAGATATATACCTTTTTCATATGTTTTCGTTGCGCGTGCCGCATCCGAGACCACTCCCTTTTGCGGGACAGAGTGAAGCGGAACATCAAGAAGTGGCACAATGCTGTTCGACATGCTCAAGCATTGATCAATGCAGCTGAGCGCATGCCTGCAATGAGAACTTCCAGGGAGAGTGCGTGGGTCAATCACTGTGAAGATGTCAGAAAAAAACGTGGCTGGAGATTTGCCGACGTCACTGAAGATCAACACAGGAGACATTGTGGCGATCCAGAAGGATGCTGACTGGCAAGTAGGCCTGGTGCTCAGCATGTGGCGAATCTTCAAAAGAGGAGGCCGGTCTTTGTGCCCTCATGAGCTTCCTCGTGGTTCGCTTTTTGTGGCGCGTGTGGTGATCATGGCAGAAGATCCCACCCCCGGAGTCTATGTGGCCAGAAACACAAGTCTTTGCCTGAACTTTCCCCTCATGGCGATCGGAATGCGCTTGAATTCTGATAGCACACCCACCAAAAGGGCAGCTGATGGATTGAAGATCTACTTGAACGAGGAACATACATCTTTTTTGTTGTATAAGAATTGTGTGCTTGAATGTTCTTGAAGTCATTTTGAACGATAGAAGGTCTAAAATGATTTTCCTCAAAGGATGCAATTGAATGATTACGATTTGGGATGAAGGTTTTGTGACTAGACCTCACTGCTTTGATTTTGACAGTTCCCTCCAGGTTAAGACATTCAGTGCCAGGTCCTTTCTTGCAGTTCATGCTTTTAGTTATTCTTTTGTGTGGTGACAAGGGGTCTAAGATGGTTTCCCTCAAAGGATGCGTTTGAACAATTACGATCTAGGATGATGTTTTTTGAGTTAGATCAGACTAGTGTTCAGGGTTGGTATTTAGCGCTGTGTTCTTGTCTTTCCCTTTGTGCTTTGCTGCGCTGTTGATGTTTTTGCGTGCTACAGAGGGTCTAGAACTCATTCCTCTGAAAGATGCGTGTGAAAGATACTGCTTTGGCAGGAGGATCTTGTAGTTAGACCTCCCTGCCTGCAGGAGTCCATGCGGGCCTTAGCTGCGATGAGAAATGATCTGCAGTCAATGCAGAAGGAAGCCGCCGCTGGCAAGAGAGCTCCTCGATCACGACGAATAGAGCCTGTGATCGAGAACTTCAAGAGGACCAAGAAGGGCTTCAAGCTCATGTCGCAGGAGATGGAGCGCTTGTTGCAGAAGCAGTGCGAACTGTTTCCTGCGAAGTGCATGACCAATGTTGACTTCACAGAGGTGCGGTTCACGTACAAAGGCGAAGCAAAGAAGATCGGGACGGGGGGCTTTGCTCAAAAAGACTCCGTACTTTTTCAGTGCCTTTTACAGTAGCATCCGCAACAAGCTCCTGTTCGGCCAGAAGGTCATGAGCTGGTACCAGACTGCACCTTTGATTTGAAATTGTTTGCATTTTTTTTCCGCCTTCGTTGTCCATCAGCTAATTTAAAAGCACACTTGACGATCAGAACCCAGACCCGACATTCGAGATCCAAAATTCGAAATCCGAGACTCAAGATCCGATTTTCCAGATCCAAATCTAAAATCCGAAATCTGAGATTCCAGACACCAGATCCGAGATTCCAGATCCGATTTTCAAGATCCCAGATTCGAGATTCAAGATCCAAGATTCCAGACCCCAGATCCAAGATTCAAAATCTCATTTTTGTGGTCCGAGATCCAAGATCTGAGATCCGAGATCACCGATCGAGATATATCGAGATTAAAGATCCAAGTTTCAAGATCCCAAATCCCAGATCCCAGACTCAAAATCCAATTTTCCAGATCCAAGATCCGAGATTTGAGAAATAAGATCCAAGACCCAAGATTCAAGATCCGAGATCCCCAGATCCAAGATTCGAGATGCGGTTTTCGAGATCTGAAATTCAAGATCCGAGATCCAAGCTCTAAGATCTGACATCCAAGATTCGAGATGCAAGATCTGAGGTTCAAGATGCAAGATCGAAGATTCGAGATCCAAAATTCGAGATCTAAATTCTAGTGCGGCCAACATCCATGGTTAAATCTCATTGTTAAGTTCGATTATATATCTATTTTTTTGTTTGGTTTTGTTTAATTGTCACTATGTCACAGGCTACAGATCCAGAACATATGCCCACTCCACTAAAGTGATCTAAAATGTATGACTCTATTTTGGTTTGCCTGCTGCATCCATGTCCATCCAAGGTGATGAACTCACTGAAGAGTGGTGTAACCACTCCACTCAACCAGCTCGTGTCCGAGATCGCCACGCTTGATGTCACAGAGCTGCGCGGGGTCGAAGAAGAAGAAGGGTCGGAATCTGGATGATTCCTTGGTGGAATCCTGATGGGTGCCAACTTTTGTTGGCTTTTCATGGCTTTTCAAAGCTGTCAAAACGACAGGCGAAGGCAAGTGCAAATGTGGGAAGGGCTTGAGCATGAGGGCTGGAATCCACGAGATTCCTTTTGGCCGGCGTTTGGCCCTTAACGCCTGTCAAAAAGACATGCGAGAGACACAGAC